CAACAGTATCCGGGCCATAGATCGAGTTCAACGCTTCGACCTCGTCGGCAAGAGCGACGTTGGGGGCCGCAATGCCGTCGTCAACGTGACTGCCATCTCCCGAAGGCATGGGTTGGAGGAAAGAAGCGGCAAGGAACTGCACGAGAAAGTGGTTGAGGGCGAAGATGGGAGAGCGTCTCGGGAAAGTTGCCTCTCCTCTAATGAAGTATCACAGCAAATCCGAGGCCTTGTTCAGCCTCGTCCAGCCTTGTCCAGATGCCCGCCTTATGAGCAGTTGGACGAGCAGTCATGAAAGCAGTCATAACAATAAGTGATGCCCGAGTCCGCCGACCCAACAAACCGATCAAAAATCCATTCCGGCATTCACTTGTATCAAGCAACAAGATCGATCTCCTTATTCACATCCCCCCCCGGATCCTTTCCGCGTCCTATCCTTGACTTCTGCCTTATCTCCTTCCAAGAGCTCTTGAGTCGCAATCTCCAGACATCACTGTCATAGTTGATGGGCGACTCAGCGCCCGTAAAGATGAAAATGTCATAGACGCTTGCACCTGCGAGCCCACCCGTCATCGTCCCGATCCAAGGGCCCCAAAACCACCATCCATGATCCTGCTTAAACACATCGAGACCGAGGCCAGCGGCCATCATTATTAGACGAGGCCCGAAGTCCCGCGCAGGGTTGAGAGCGGCGCCAGTGTTGTAGGAGAAGGCCATGCCCAGCACCATGACCAGCAGGGAAATGATGAATGCATGCATTCCTGCTCCCGGCGGGGCGTTGTCGTCATCCCCTAACGCAAGAACGGAGCAGGCCGCAATTGCGGTGGCGATGAATTCGTTGAAGAAGGCAGCGGCATTGTTCAAATCTCCACGGGGCCGTGTCCAAAAGGCAGGGCCAATGCGAACAATGTCTGAGGCAGTGTACGCCTGGATGGCGTCATTGTAGAGACCGTAGACGATGGCGGACGCCGCGATGCTGCCAAGAAACTGAGCAGCCATATACTTCCAGCAATCGGTCCATGGAAAGCCACGGAAGATAGCGAGGACGAGTGAGATTGTGGGATTTAAATGAGCGCCGGATACCCCACCCGCAATGTAGATTCCTATCATCACCCCTAAGCCCCATGCCATGTACGCGGTGAGAAGACTTCCATAGTCGCTACCCGCCGTCATATGAACAATGGATCCCGACAGACCGAGTGTCATGAAGACCAGGGTACCGAGGAACTCTGCGAGTGGCTTTCGATATTTATGCCTGATGGGTCCCCAAGCATTGTGGAATTCCGGTTGAGGTGACTCCTCAGGTTGCGAGAACCGGTGTATCAAAGTGTCTTCTAATGTATGATACTCTTCCCAGTCGATGTTCGGTGGATACTGTCTCAAGTCACTTTCGTCCCCAGCCGTATCTGCCAATTGCTGTAGTCGTCGCCGTGCTGACTCAACAGCGGACTCACTACCCACCCCCCGTTCCAAGTCCTGTCCAGCGACCAAAGAGTCGTGGCCTGTCGAACCGCGAGGAGAAGTGTACCGGCGCGCATCAGTCCCGTGGGATTCCTCGCTTCTTCTCTGTCCCTGCACAGATGATGTAGGGGCTTTGTCATGTGCACTAATATTCTCAACAGCCAACTCGCGTTCCCTCTGCCTCGTTTTTGTGCCGAGAATGCCGGGTTGTTGGACGGGATTGTGCGGGACGATAGGCTCGCTCAGATATGAAGATGCGTTGGCGGTGGTGGCTCGGCGAAGGAGATCGGGTTCACGGGTAGACGATCGAGTATCGGCCCTTGTTCGGGACGGATGATGTTCCTGCTCTCCGTGTCTGGCGGGACTAACCTCGATTCGAGGAGCTGGCTGCGTCGCTGTTGATGTTTGTTGATGCGCAGGTTCGCGCGAATGGCGGCCGGTTGTTGTTGCCGTTGGCTCACCTGTAGATTCTCCATCTTGCCTCGTGGCTCGGGATCGCATTCCTGGACGCATGACCCGTGGCAAAGGGGCAGCCAATCCCCAAATTGGCTCGTTGGATGGTTGTCCATGTTGGGGACAATAGTCTTGATATTCCTGACTGACAAAGCTCCCCTGGTCTCTCGACGGATGGCTAGCTCTGGGGCCTGCGAGAGAGAAAGGGACAGATTCCTGCGTAGGGACAGATCTTATTCTTCTCCCGTCATACGCAAATGAGAGAGGACTAGCTCGCACTGAAGGGAAATTTTGTGACATTGCGTTCGATGGTGCTGAATGATACTTTACACAAAAGAGGCATCACGAACACCAAAACAATAGACCATTAAGAGACAAAGAGCAAGATAGTCCAGAGGAGTCCGAAATAAGAAACATCGACTCACGGGCAGTCCAGCCGGGGCAGCCAGGGTCAGAGATCAGCGGCGAGCAGCCTCTGGAGCTTGTGGAGCGGTGGTCAGGAACGCTCAAGTTGAGGTTCCTTTGGCTCCTTCCGTCCTATGACGACTGGCACCCAACGGCAGACAAGATCCAAGCGAATGTGAAGGAATCATCGATCATCGATTATTGTGTCTCTGTCAGTGAAAGTTCGGGAGCACGAGGGATCTTCCCCCTCTCGGTCCACAAGAAGACAACAGGCGCACGAGGCTGGAGAACCAGGAACGTCATGGCGAACGAAGATCATGGATCGGCGACCCTCAGCCGTCCACCAGAGCAGCTCGTTGAATTGGTTGAGAGTTGGGGTATTGAAGATTAAATAATGGACATGGGGTTCGAAGCCAGCGAGCCATGTAAGAGTGATGGGTTGATGAAGACGACGATGACGATGGCGAAGCTGAAGACGATTGAGGAAGATGCAAAGTGACCGAAGCGGGTAGGCCACGAAACTGGGCTTTGCAAGTTCCAGCCTGCGCCTCTTTCTTCGTTTCGCTGCACCTCCAACCACCTCCTCTCCGTGCTCATTCTTATCCTCGACACAATTCTCTGCTGCACATACCAATGACGCCTGTGACCTTATCCCCTGGATTTCCTGAGGGACAAATGCCACCTGGACCCTCCAACACGACCTTCGATCACTCGGATAGCGCTCCTCTCGGGAAATCAGGTGCCACGCATCCCAGAATTTCCCGACCCCCTCTAGAGGCGTATAGACATCAGTGAGAAGCGTATTTGCATATCCAAAGGGACGCCTAACTTCTGCCCAGAAGCGGGGGTGATGAGACGGCAATGGAGGACCGATGGCTGTTCATAAGGGAGGGCTTCGACGAAGGTTGACAGAGGCAGGAATTCTGACCCTTTTATTGCAATTACTCTTGTCTCGAGATCGCAAGTCAATATCCCAGCAATGGGCGGCAAATATCACATCAAAAACGGCACCGTCCTCTCCATCGACCCAGCTTTGGGCACAATCGAGAACTGCGACGTCCTCATCGACGACCATATCATCACTCACGTCGGCCCCAATCTCACACCTACCTCGCCAGAGCAATACGCCGTCATCGACGCCACTAACGCCATAATCTCCCCAGGCTTCGTCGACACCCACAGGCACACCTGGCAGACCCAACTGCGCACAATCTGCTCTGACCATGTCCTAGGTGACTACTTCCTCCACATCCGCAACATCTATGGCTCCTGCTACAGCGACAAAGACGCGTATCTGGGGAACTACTGCGGCGCTCTGGAAAGTATTGACAATGGAATTACTTTCCTAATTGATCACTCGCATATTATGAACTCTCCGGACCATGCCAATGCCGCGGTTAAGGGACTAAGGGATGCGAAGATCCGAGCGGTCTTTTGCTATGGATTGTACATCAATCCTGCCTGGCCGGGTTCTTGCATGGACCAGGATCGAGAGACCAAGACGCCTGAATGGAGGTTTGAAGATGCAAAGCGCGTGAGGGAGACGTTATTCCAGTCGAACAAGCTGACGGACCTGGTTCGTTTTGGTTTCGCACCTGCGGAAATCGAACGAGGGGGCATTGACGATGCCATCAAGGAAGTCGAGTTCGGTCGATCATTGGGTTCAGCGATCATCACCGGTCACGTGTCGATGGGTAAGTACGATCGCGGTTTACATTTGGTTCGGAACTTTGAAGAACGCAGTCTCCTCGGACCGGATCTTCTGTTCAGTCATTGTGCCAGTTTGCACGACGACGAGCTTGAGGCAGTTGGCAAACGTGGCGTTTCCCTCTCCAGCACCCCCGACACTGAAATACAGATGGGTATGGGCCACCCGATTGCCTTCAAGGCTAAAGGCAAAGGGTGCACCGCTAGCATTGGCATCGACGTGGTCTCGAATAACCCCGCCGATATGTTTCAACAGATGCGGTTGTTGCTTCAAGCCCAACGACACCTCGAACATTACGCACAGGACGGCCCCCCGTGGACTATCTCCAGAAGATGCGCCGAGGTTCTGGAGATGGCCACCATGGGCGGTGCGAAAGCCGTTGGATTAAAAGACGTCGTTGGGAGCATCACGCCTGGCAAGAGGGCGGACTTGATCATCACTCGATGCGACTCGACTAGGCTGACGCCGGTGCATGATCCTGCCGCCGCGCTAGTCCTGTACGCAAATGCCTCGGACATCGACACCGTCTTGATCGATGGCGAAATGGTGAAACACAAGGGTCAATTGGTCGGCGTCGATTGGCCAAAGGTCCGCGCCGAGCTGAGGGACTCGGCGGAGAATATTATGCAGCGTTCCAAGAAGGCCCCCTTTGAGCAGATCAAGGAGGGCGTCATTGCGACCATGAGAGCTTTTGCCGGCAGTGCCTAGGTGAGGACGTAGGATAGGCTGCTGTTCGTATATTACGCGGTAGCTCAATTGACAGTATGATGATGACAGGGCCATGCCTTTTTATAAGGGGGCCGTCTCAGATGGTGATATCTGATATATTTTTTTCACTAGTCCTTTTAGGTACGCCGACTGGTCCTATTAGTTACTACGTTGAAAATCTTGATCTGAATTAAGATTGGTTAAGTCGTCCCTCTCCCCATAGCTCCCATATCCCATCTCCTATTTCCCACCTTAACGTGGCTTAGCTTCACCCTGGCACCGTGGCCGGCCAGGGATCCAAAAAGCCGAGACCCACCCTAGGACTCGTGGCGAAGAGCGAAAAGTCCATGGCCTGGCCGTTGGGGAAGAGATCGAGCATTTCGGGGTCGTGGAAGGGGCGGAAGAAGTCCAGGCACGGGAACTCGAGCCCTGGTGTTTGCTCGATGATCGGCAGCGGTGGTGGTGCGTATGGTGACGACAACGGTAATGGTACTTGCAATGGTAGCGAGACTCCAGGGATCGGGGGCCGCGGTTGGTTTTGTTGGGCGAGAGGCGCGGCCGGTTGTTCGGCGAGGAGCGAGAGCGTTGATGGAGACCGAGGCTCGAAGAGCTCTCTCCTCTGGGGAATCTCGACTGCTGATGGAGAAGGGTCTATGAGCGACTCACCACCTCTCCCTCCTTCCACTTCTCCTTCTTGTTCAGCCCCAAGGTCCGCGACCTCTTCGCCCGGCCGGGGGAGAACATTGCCGTTCCTCCACAGGATGCGGTTGTGTCCGAGGATGGACTCTCTGGCGTGGACCGCGGTGGTGCCGCGGAAGCTCATCAGCTTCTTCGAATCAAGGATCAACTTGGGCTCGCCTTCGAGAATGACAGGGCTCTTGGCGTGGATCTGGTAGATGTAGCGCACGTGGCTCTCCTATGTATTTTCAAGCGATGGTTGTCAGTTCAGCTGGTCCGTCAGGTCCACACAACGGCATTCCGTCCAGGCATACAACCAAATGAGGGCAGCAGGACACACCAACAAGGCGGCGAACTTCCAATACTTTGCCAGAGTATAGATCATCTTGACGTTCGCCCTGACGTTCTCGTACGCTCTCTGCTTAACGGCTGGCTCGGTGGACCACATGAAGGGGATCTGTATGGCTGCGCCACAGTACGCTGCATAGGCGACGAAACTCGGTATTGCGCTGAGCCGAGCAAAGTTCGACAGGACGGCATCGACGAGGGCCGAGGCAGCACAGGCGTGGTCGTAGGCCACCTGCGCAGACATCTGTCTTGCCGCGGACCATGTCTCATCTGCTGCACTCCAGCAAAACAGAGGCACGACCGAAGCATGGAGAGCGCAAAGACACTGGTGGTGCACAACGTGGAGGAGTAACAGGTTGGGAAGAGCCTCGTCGGGCACCTCTGGAACAATGTCAACCGTCAGCTGAAGCGAGCTCGGAAGCTTGGTCCACCAATTTGATATCCGATCATCGAGCGCGTAGATGGCGTGAAGTCTCTCGCTGATGCTGGACTCTGGAGATTTGACCAGAGCATTCACCTCGCACCTCGAGTGGAGAGTTAGCGCAGGCTGCAAACTTGTTGTGCGCAGTTTGCAGGGTTTCGTGCATATTTGGAGGATGTTTCTCACCAGAAGGTCAAGGCTTTGATCAGTTCTCCAAAGATACTGCCATTGCTGTTCCCTGACTTCAAACATACTCTGGGGTGGATGGCGGTGCCCACGTTGAAATCCTCCTCTGGCCACGGTAACGTGAGCTTCAGAGTATTTTCAGCAGATGTCAACACAGCGCACGTTTCGATGGCATGGCAATGCATGAGATAACAAGCCCAGAACCGACGGCGACGTATTTCCGACTCCCACAAGTCTTCTCTGCCCGGCATATCGGTTCCGAGCCCGAGAAGATGGGCGATCTGTGCAGCACTGCCTGTCTCCTGGAGTTAGCCGAGATCAAACATGGTCCAAGGTGAACGTTGTTTTTGCTCAAACCTTTGTGAATTGCAGATCTCCGCCATGAGCCCTGACTGTACCAGAAGAGTGCAAGATTCATGAACGTCACAATGTGCTCTTCGGTCGGATTCTCGACTTCTTGAAACGCAAGCTTGCCTGCTTGGCCTGCCCACTCCCTGCTGAAATCGTGGTTGCAAAGGACTGACCGGTCATTTGGATCCCGATAAAAACTAGAGGTTCAAGGATCAGAAAAATGCTCCCGCAGTATCATAATAGATGGGGGATCCTCTTGTCCCACTTTAAAGCCCAAGCGCAAACACTGAGGACGACATGAGGACGAGCAGTACCCGCTGCTATTGCTTCGAGGAACAGTCTCTTGTGCAGCAAAAGAGAGGCGTTGTACACATTGGCGTAGTAGACGTCGACGAGACTCATGATGAGGGTCATGGGAATGCCGACATAGGAGCTTTGAACCAGCGGAAGACTCGGTCTCACCGCTGTAGGCCTACAGCATGTCGGCCCCGGTGTTTTCGTTCCATCCTGGGCCGCAAAACTGGGAGTTCTAGCCGTCTTAGAGCAAGATGGAGACAGCGACGACGAATGCAATGGATCGGTACTCTCTGCATGTGAGGTCGCTTTCGGCCTCCGTCGCTCCTCGCCCGTTTTGTAAAGACAGACGTGGTTCGACTTCAGGCATCTTTTGCAAGTCGGCTTCTCGCCCGAGCAGCGGACCTATAAACAAACATGGAACGTCAAGACGACTCGGCCAGACAAGACGGCGACGTGCTTGTTGATCTGCGATACCTTTTGGTTCTTGCATCGGCTGCAGGCTTTCCTTGGTCGACCTGCTCCGGCCAACATGAGGACTAGCCGTCGAAGAAACGGGTCCCTTCTGTTGATTATCCGACAAAGATCACAATTACAAGTTCCCCGTAGCCTCTTCACAGATGAGGCGCAGTTATGTGAATGCTGGAGACCCCGTGGCGATGGCTCGGGAAATGGAGAAAGGGAGGAGGCGTGGAGGGTCGGGAAATCACTTGACCTATGCGCACCCCGTTCGAAGTGCCTTGCCGGTTTCCTCGGTTGGATGAGTAAGACCTAGGAGTCATCGCTTCTGGGCATAATCAAGAGCAAGCTCACTTGAGTAGTGAGAGCGGTTGTGACATGGGCGAATTGTCAAGCAGGAAACGATCCTGTTACAGATGTCCATGTCGCTCTACACAAAACGGAGCCTGAGATCCAAGGAAATGATTTCGTTTGGTTCTGGCCAGCGAGCGCCGGGACATGCAGCACGGCTCAATCATCGTTGCCACTTCGCGGAATATCTTTTCCTCCTTCCCCAAGCTCTTCATGGAGCCTTTCTCCCCCAACAAGCACCGGCTGACAGTCCTGCAAGACGAACAACATCCTCGTCCAGTCTGTCTTGCTGGGATTTCTCCACGCGTGATTCGTCCCTCGCTGTACAGCAATGTCCCCACGCTTCAAAAGAGTCACACTGCCGTCGTCCAGCTCCATTTCGATGGTTCCCTCCAATACCACTCCGTAGTCCAGGCTTTGCGTGCGATGCATCAATGGAGTGCCGCCCGGACCAAAATCAACGATACGGCAGACTGTCCCGCCTTTCTTGACGAGTCCGAGCTTACCGCTGGACATGGTCGCTTTGTGGGAATCAATGTCGGCATCCCCATTCAGCGAGGCCGGAAAGGATGAGGTGGTATATATTACATTGAACCCCACGGCTCTTTCGGGGAACCAAGCCCATTGATTCTGAGATGAAGAGTAGAGTGTAGCTTTGCCAGAGGAGTTGTGGGTTGTTATATGAACTGTTGGGTCTGGGAGACCAGAGGGAAGTTGTTCCGTGGAGGCCATTGTGATTTTCTAGTTCTAAGTGTTGAATTGGGGTTGAGGCTTTGGGTGAAGTGGAGGGAGTTTGTTCAGAGAAGGTCAGTAAAGAGCTGATATGGAGAGGCCGCGATATGATTATGATTAATCAAGATGGGCATGCTCGTCTCAGACCTCGGTCCCAAATGATACAATTCATACTCATCTGACCTGATTTGTGGATGAGGTTGTCCTGGAAGGGTTTGCTGCTGCTCGGGAAAAGCAGTATTGTTGTCCTCCACATAAAGAGAGTATCGGAAAATGGTCGGATTGGCGCATCTTATCCAGTTTCGATCGAGTTACCCATTCGAACCTTGACGACTCGGGTAGGAATTGAGAAAGCAACATCTGACAGAATCATGTTTCTTCAAGATGATTGTTCACATTGCACCATCAACGGCGATATTGCTCACCCTTTCAACCGCCACAGTAGCGGAAATTATTGTTTCAGGTTGCGGAAATCCTACATTCTTAAAGCAGAATTCCTTTCTCTCCTGTGTACTCATAAGGTGACAGTCAACCTTAACAAAAACTGTGTTCTCTCTTTTGGGCCAGGTGACGGCCAGGAAGGATCTCAATCAAGTCACAATCAGGAGAGAATGGGTCGTCATGGAAATGAGACTGGGAACCAATTTGGCATGTGGGGTCGAGTTTGTGTTGATGGTGCCTGGCTCGCTGGGGCACATTCAACGGTCGGGAGAAGTGTGACCGCTGTCTCATATAAGCAGTTTCATGCGTGTCTCGTCCGAGAAAACTGGGGTTACTTATCAACCAGTTAGGACCTCTGGACCTCGAGGGATGAACAATCGAGGGTCTGAAGCAGGAGAAGAAAAATTTTCAGGAACTCCGGGGTGATTGCCTATTCCAGGGGAGCACTTCCGATCCATTTCTGATTAGGTGGTTTAAGTGGACACCATTATCACAACGTGGGTTTCAAATACACCCTGCATGTCGGTAAAGGGAAGAGAGCCCCTTCCCACTAGCCTCTCCATGACAGAGAAAGCGAAAGGGGAAGAGGAGAGACAAGAAAATTTGAGCCGTACCGCCAAGACTCCTTTCGTCATCCGGGATTCGCATGATCATTTTTCCGCACGCATGTCCGCAGCCCTCACCTTTTACTCCATTCTAACAAGCGCAACGCACGAGCCAGCAGGAAAAGCACAGTGCAGGTAGAGTAGTTAGCAAAGCCTTGGCAACAGTCAGAGGCGGAAGTGTGTGGTTCGCGGCAGTTGAGAAAAGCATGGTTGACGTGATATCGTGATCGTATCGGTCGACAGCCGAGTCGACAGTGACAATGATGACATGGTGAAGGAGGATAAGTTGACCAGCCATCCGGCACCAGATGAGACGGGTGGCGCACTTTCCCTGGACCAGTTAGCTACCGGGATAGGACAGAAGCAAGGGATTTGATCGGAGGCCGTATTCATGGCCTAAGCCCTACCCCTTTCCTGTTTGCAAGCGGTCTGTGACAAAGAACACTAAGGATGGGCGGATTGATGGAGCTTCTCCGGGCCGGTCAGATGCAGCACTGACAAAGACAGTGATCAGGGGCGCGAATCACAATAGGCGCGAAGATGGACGGCTTAGGAAAGTGCTTGATAGCCCAGGAGAGGAAGATTGATGAGACGGTCAGTAGTAGTAGCTGGTGGTGGCAGGAATGGATGGGCTGACAGGACGGAGTAAGGACGGAGAACTGGGTCATGTCAATAGCAGTCTCTCTGAAGATGGGTACATACGCGGTACAGGAGGAGGAATAATGGTGCCTTATGCAAGGCCAAGGTTGTATGCATTACTCAGTCTTCATCATCCAGCCCAGGTCCATATTGGCCACCCGCGTAAATGCACGATGGGCGATGGCGGCAATGCGACGGTTGATCTCTGACGCAACTAGACAGAGCTGAACGAAAAAGGTACTTTTGTAGTGTTGCTTGTTGCCACAACCACAAGTCACAACCACTAACGCTTTGGTGCCACCCGCCCCAGGGAGGTACCATGCAAGCTGGATTAAAAATAAGTCGCTGCGAATACTGTGGAACAGGAGGAGTTCGTAGGAATGAGGATGCCGTGTCCCTTGGAAACAGTGGGCTCTCTGTTCTGTCATTCACCCCCACGGTTTATTATGTTCCACGGCTGACACTTTGACGGTGTTGAGCACGTCTGAGGTACATATTCCGTGACAGACAGTACCACTTAGTTTTGTACCCTGCCTACAAGCACATGGTCCATAGCGACCGGTCACTGTCGGTGCCAAAGCGGCGAGAATTCATGTTCTTTTGCTGTTGCAAGGTACGCGGAGACCGACTTGGGGCTCCGTATTGGGTATTGGATTGCGTGTCTCCTTGTTCCTGGTCCTCGCATGCGCCACTCACTCATGCGCTCACCCATTGACCACCCATTCATCTTCCACTCACCACCCACTCACCTCGACAACTCTCACACACACTTTTACATAGTCCTCTCGCGCTCTCTCGCGTCTCCGTCCTCTCCAGTCTCCAGTCTCCCCCTCTCTCGCTCCCTCGCTCCCTCGCACTCTCTCACAAACCTCGCCCACTTTCTCTTCTAGGCGATTTGTGTTCAAGTGAGCATTTGCTTGCTTTTGACGGGGAGGCGAGGCGGAAACCCCACCCTACTTCCTCCGTACGAGTACGGTACATCCCTGGTGCTTCACCAACCCGCCATAGCCAAGTCCCATTGGTCCCTCAACCCTCTGGCCCTCAGTCACTCAGTCCCTCCTGACCTGTGATCTGGCTGTTGCTAAGAAAAAGGACAAGCTGCGACAAGCCGGGCCAAGCTGGGAAAGTTACGGTGCTACGTTCATACTTAGGCACTAGGGATTGGGTACTGTACATGACTCGACTCCCACGGCCCCCCCCACCATCTTTTGCTTGTTAGGATCATTCAGGCACGCCTCCTCCCCCTCCCCAGTCCCCTAAACATGGCTAAGACGCTGACCCTGGATCCAGGCAAACCAGACCCTTTCGTTCAAAGCCACCCCAGCTTGCATCAACTGCCCGTTAGCACTATCCTGCACTACTTACCTAAGTACCTACCTGGTACTCCCGAACCCTGGAAGTCCTTCCAGAACATCCACCTAGCCAAGAGGCCCTCCAGTGTCCACCTTCAACCACGCAGCTGCCCACAGGCACCAAGCTAAACCCGATTCCCAGACAGCCAAGCAGTTTAAAAAGGACAAAGGACGGACGAGCAGCACAGCCAAAACCAACCCCTCTCCCCGGTGACTTCCAGGCAATTCGTCAAGGCGACTCAAACTCGCAAGTTTAAACTTTTTTAACTACTCACCATCAACTTCTCTTCCTGGTGGCTTGGTGGATGGAACTTCAACCTCGCCTCTCTCTCAACCTCCAACTCTTGGGCCTCGATTACTTTGGATTTCAGCCTCACCTTCTCTCTCGACTCTTCACCGGTTCTATCGCCCGACGCATGACTGGCAGCTCTTGGGCATCTCCCAAGTGGCTCTCTATCCATCAGCCTTCATACGCGTTGCAGGTTTCGGCCAACCACCGTTCACGCCTGCACAGCCCCCCTCCAAACAG